GGAAAGACTGAATGCTTTCTCCCTAACATCAAAAATAAGACCAGGGGGATCCCTGGGTGGCGCAGCGGTTTGGTGCCTGCCTTTGGCCCAGGGCGTGATCCTGGAGACCCCGGATCGAATCCCACGTCGGGCTCCTGGTGCATGGAGCCTGCTTCTCCCTCTGCCTGTGTCTCTGCCTCTCTCTCTCTCTCTCTCTCTCTCTCTCTCTCTCTGTGACTATCATAAATAAATAAAAATTAAAAAAAAATTAAAAACAAAAAAAAAATAAATAAAATTGGATCTCCTAATATTAAAAAAAAAAAAAAATAAGACCAGGGTGTCTGTTTTCTTCACTTCCACTTAACACTGTGCTGGAGGGGGCTGGCCAGGGCTCACAGGCAGGAAAAATAAATAAAAGGCATCCAGATTAGTTTCAAAGGAAGAAGCACAACTGTCTGTTTGCAGATGGCATGATCATGTATACAGAAAACTCCTAAGGAATCCACAAAATAACTGCTAGAATGAATAAACAGGTCTGCAAGGCTGCAGGAAACAAGGTTGGTTCACAATGTGAGTTGTATTTCTATACACCAGCAATGAACAGTCAAAAAACACCTCCGCTGCCAATACCACAAGAGTAAGACGTTTAGGAATAAATTAACAGAATAAATGAAAAATTTGGGGTACCTAGGTGGCTCAGTTAGTTGAGTGTCCAACTTTTGATTTTGGCTCAGGTCATGATTTCAGGGTCATGGGATCAAGCCCCACTTTGGGCTCCATGCTCAGTAGGGGGTCTGTTTGAGACTCTTTCTGCCTCTCCCCCTGCTCCTCCCCCCACTCTTTCCCATAAATAAATAAATAAATAAATAAATAAACAAACAAACAAACAAACAAACAAATAAATAAATAAATATTTTAAAGGTCGCTTGCCACTCCCCCCTAAAAAGAAATAAATAGGGCATCTAGGTGGCTCAGTCAGTTAAGTGTTTGCCTTCAGCTTAGGTCATGATCCCAGAGTCCTGGGACTGAGTCCTGCATCAGGCTCCCTGTTCAGTGAGCAGTCTGCTTCTCTGTCCCTCCTCTGGCTTATGTGCTGTCTCTCAAATAAATAAATAAAATCTTTAAGAAAATAAAAGCCTTTAAAATAAAGAAATATAAAACTTACACTTTGAAAACACAGTTCAGGGCACCTGGGTGGCTCAGTGGTTGAACGTCTGCCTTTAGCTCAGGTCATGATCTCGGGGTCCTGGGATCAAGTCCCGTATCAGGCTCCCCACAGGGAGCCTACTTCTCCCTCTGCCTATGTCTTTGCTTCTATGTGTCTCTCATGAATAAATACATAAAATCTTTAACAAAAGGGGGCAGCTCAGGTGGCTCAGCAGTTTAGCGCCACCTTCAGTCCAGGGCATGATCTTGGAGACCCAGGATCGGGTCCGACATCAGGCTCCCTGCATGGAGCCCGCTTCTCCCTCTGCCTGTGTCTCTGCCTCTCTCTCTCTCTCTCTGTGTGTTTCTATGAATAAATAAATAAAATCTTAAAAAAAATCTTTAAACACACACACACACACACAAAAGAAATCCATTAAGATGTAATGGATATAAATGAATACCCCATGTCCAAAGATTTAATACTGGTAAGGTGGCAATACCCCCAAGTTGATCTATGTACTTTATAATGTCTATAATTATACCAGCTATCTTTTTTGCAGAAACTGACAAGCTGATCCTAAAAATCATATGGAAATGCAAGCAAATCAGAGTAGCCAAAATAATCTTGAAAGAGACCTCAGTTGGAGGACTGACACCTCCCAATTTCAAAACTTAGCCAAAAAGCTATAGTAGTCAATACAATGCTAGGCCTGAAAGGTAGACATAGATCAATGGAATAGAACAGAGTAGATAAATAAATCCTTACATTTATGGTCAACTGAATTTTGACAAGAGTGGCCGGACAGTTCAAAGGGGGAAAGAAAAGTCTTTTCAACAAAGTACAGAAGATTGAACTCGTACCCTTTCCTTACACTATACCTAAATATTAACTCACACAGATCACAGACTTACATGTAAGAACTACAATGATAAAGCTCATGGGATTCCACTTCACACCTAATAGGATGACTGTCATGAAAAAGACAGGCGGTAGCAGGTGTTGGCAAGGACGTGGAAAAACTGGAACCCTCATATGCTGCTGGTGGGAATGTAAGATGATGCAGCCGCTTTGGAAAACAGTCTGGCAGGTCCTCAGAATGTTCAACACGGAGTTACCACATGACCCAGCTGTTCCACTCTGAAGTATCTACCCAAGAGAAATGAAAACATGTGCCCACACTAAAAGATGGAGAAGAATATACATAGGAGCATTTTGCATTAACAGCCAAGGAGTGGAAAGGACTCAAATGTCCACCAACTGGTGAAGAGATAAATAAAATATGGCAGATCCATACAATGGACTATTATTTGACAATAAAAAAGAATGGGGTACTGATACTGCTACAATACAGATGCATCTTGAAAACGTAATGGTAAGTAAAGAAATGAGTCACGAAAGACCACAGATGAGAACAGGCAGATCCAGAGACAGGAAGTAGATTTGTATTTTCCAAGGGCTTGGAGGGTAGGAAGTAATGAGAAGTGACTGTTTGATGGGTATGGGGTTTCTTTTTGGGGTGATGAAAATGACCTCACATTGACTGTTAGCACTGACAGCTGCAGGACTCTGTGCATATACTAAAACCCATTGAACTGTACACTTCAAATGGGTGAAATACAGGACATATGAATTATATCACATAAAGGTGCAAAAAAATAAAAAAAAGTCAAGTATCAAGCCCAGTGCTTGATGCATAATACACCACGGCTTTAGCTTTGGGTATTAATAAGATGCATTGTCTGATACATCACTGTAGAAGGAGGACTATGACCTTTACAGATATGCTTGACACGTGTCATATTTGATCACAGAGGCTCTCCCAAAATGGCAATGTCCCCAATCAGGAGTGACTAGCTCAAGACCAGGGATGTCTCACAGAGGATCTTAAGCAATGAGTGCTTAGGGCCAAAGCAGCCCCAAGGAGGGTACATCACACTAGTGCGCCCCCCTGCCCCCTCCCAATTTAGGGGCTGGCTCATGGGAAGTTCCACTGAGCATGGGTCTCAGGAAGAGAAAGCAGGGAAACCATCCAAGAAGAGAATAGGCCTCCAGGACCAGATTTTGAGGGGGCAAATATGTAAGGGACAAAGGACTTCTTGAAAGGTGTGTGTGTGTGGGGGGGGGGGAGCACAAATAAAAATAAAACAAAATCAAAACAAAATGGCAACAGAAGGCAAAATGATACAACCAGGCTGATCATGCTGGGGGGGGGGGGGGAAGCAAAAAGCTAGGGTGTAAAATACGGTATTAAGCCACGGTGATGGCATTTATTCACTTCCTTCTTTGTGCTCAAAAAAACGCTCCTGGGAGGAGGTGAGGGGCAAAGAGGCCCGAAATTTATATGCAAAGAAAAAAAAAAAAGTAAAATATTTCGTAAAAACATCTCTAACACGCTGGTATCTTTCCTCAAGTCGCACCATACCGCACTCCCAGGAGTTCAGACTGAGAAATCCACAGGCTTAGGATTATTGCGGCATTACTTAGAAATGCAAACAGTAGTGATAGATAACGTTTACTGAGTGCTTACCGGGTGCCTCGACTGTGTGCAAAACTCATTATCCCCTAACCCTCAGCCCTCTGCAATGACGTGGACGCTACTTAAAAACCTCGTTTCGGTGGAGAGGAAAACGAAGCACAAAGGTTAAGTAACTTGCTCAAGAACGGAGAACTTACAAGTGGCAGAGCTGAGGTCTGCCGTTAGGGGCCTAATTCCGAGAGCCCAGATTCACCACTATACCCCCGTGTCCCAGGTATCCGTCAGTGGTCCACAAAATAGTTTTAGGTGGAATAAACCGGCCCACCTCATTGTAGTGTTGCTAGATAGTAAAGTGTCAATTTCACAATAATTACATCAAGTTTTCTTTTGAAACAAATGTGTAAAAAAGAAAAAAAAAGAGTTGGTCAATTTTGAAAATTCACCTGGAAGGGAATATGGAAAAATAAAAATAGTCTGATTTTCTGAGAAGTTGAAATTTTCTGAGTCTCTTTAAAACATCTTCCCTAGAGTCCTGATGCTCCTTAAAACGTTTGTGGGAAGGGACGCCTGGGTGGCTCAGTGGTTGAGCGTCTGTCTGCCTTTGGCTCAGGGCATGATCCCAGGATCTGGGATCGAGTCCCACATCGGGCTCCCTGCATGGAGCCTGCTTCTCCCTTTGCCTGTGTCTCTGCCTCTCTCTCTCTCTCATGAATAAATAAATAAAATCTTAAAAATAAAATAAAATAAAATAAAATGTGGGAAAAATAAAACAAGCATTAAAAAAAAAAAAAAAGTCTTTTTGCTCTAAACCCTCCAAACCTATGTAATTTGCCCACCACCGGGCTCTCTCCCACTTCTGAGTGAGCTGCTTTCTCCCTCAGGAAGTAAATTCCTGACACTTATCAGATCTTCTTTTTCTTCTTCATTGTATCCTATTTTATCCTGAAGTTCCCAAGACCAGGCCATCTATTTATTCAAAGGCCCCAGAAATTTTTCGCAAGTAGAAGAGCTGCAGGGAATCTGGTAGGCATATGCAAATAGTGTTTCAGAGGCAAGGGTTACTATGCTACTCCTCAGGGCTTCCTCTACATCTGATAAACTGCCCACTCCTGGCACCCAAACAAAGAAGCTCCAATTGGCAGAGGGGAAAGGACTCTGTGTTTCATCCTGAAGATCCCCAAAGGCCAAAGACCTTGCCCAGGTACTTCAGTTTTCCATGGCTAGACATGTCCAATTCACCAGATAGATGAGCAACCAAAGCCATCTCCAACTTCACACAGCCCACAGATCCCAAGAGCTCTTGAGCCTCTAGGCAAGTCCCCTGGTGGCTCAGAGGCCACTCTACTTTGTCAACCTGCAGATCCCAGCTACCAGGCAAAGGCCATCCTCACCCACCTGTGCATGTTCCCATTGGTGGTAAAGGACTGGCCACACACGGTACACTTGTACGGCCTCTCGCCAGAGTGCACCAGCATGTGGCGGTCCAGGGAGCTGGCCGAGCTCAGCGACTTCCCGCAGATGCTGCACGAATGGTCGGCCCCTCCAGTGTCTGTGTTATGCTGTGGAAAGCAATCATCACAGTGGTCACTTAAGAAGATGGGTCAAAACTCGGCTATTATGAAATGCAAATTCAGAGCTTTATAAACACAAAAAAAACCCCAAACAACAACAACAAAAAACCCCAGTACTGCTTCTCTGATATTTTAATGTTTCTTTTTTAAATATCTTCCCAAGAGTCAAAAATCTGTCAGGAACACCGGCAAATAACTATTTTGTATGATCTCCTTCCACTTTCGGGTTCCAGTTTTGAACAACACTTGTGCAAGGCTCAGAGAGAGGTGGAGTCTTCGCAGGTCTTTCTGAGAGACACACAGAGAATTAACTGACCACATATGTTAACATGAGAAGAACTCTCCACTACGAAACTACCGTGAAATAGGGTCTTCCCATTAAGGCCATGTCCACTCTTCCAGTTTGCTGACTCAGGCCTGCTGTCAGAAAGAGAATTGAAACCTGCACAGTTTAGAGATCTGGCCTCTGACACGTGTTAAGAAGGAACATTTCTAGCCAAATCCAAGCTACTAAATGATGTTATTTACTCATGATTTTAATACTGTCAAACCTTCTCACTCATATGTGGAATTTAAGAAACAAAACAAATGGCAAAGGGGAAAAAAAGAGAGAGAGAGAGAGAGAGACAAATAGAAAAACAGACTCTTGACTCTAGAGAACAAGCTGATGGTTATGGAGCGAGGAGGAATGGGGGGAAATAGAGGGTGGAGATTAAGGAGGGCATTTACACGATGTAACACGATGAAAACAAAAATTAAAACAAAAATTCATCCATTCCCATTCCAAATACACATAGTCAATCCTTCATTGTTCTAGATTCATCCATACGTTGTCACGAATCTACCATAGCAGGCAGGGGAGAGAGGTAAATGTCCTAATATAGAAGCAAAAAGAAATCCCAAACAAATTCCCTGCTGCAGGACCTAAGTTTATAGCAATATAAAGGATAGGGATCTTCATCTACAATCTCACTGTCACTGTGAAGAGACTTGGTTCAAACTGACAAGTCACACGTGAGGAAAGCTCTTCTATTTTTTGAGGTCAGTTAGCAAGATGTTTGCTAAAGTATGAAAAGGTATTCTGTGTTGACCTAGGAATCTCTCACAGATTTCAAAACCACCCCTTAAAAAAATTAAAATAAAAAAAAATAAAGAAAAAACCACCCCTCAAGATTATTAAAATATTCAATCTAAATTGAGCACAGACATAATTCATCTAAGATCAAATCGCCCTCTCTTAATGAAGAACGATTTCAAGCAGAAATATAAAATTGGCAGCAAACCTGACGGATGTGCATAGTTAGCTGATGCTGTGTAGTGCAAATCTTTTCACACAGGGGACAGTTATAGGAAGACTTCTCCTCTTTCGTTTCCTGAAAAGACACAATACAAGGCAAAATCAAGTTCAACTCACAGTTACGCCCGTGCCTCTTATTTTGATGACAGGTGTCTCAAGAGCCATAGCAGTAAATCAGCTGAGAGCATGGGCTCCAGAGCCTGTCTGGGGATGAGCTTGGGAAAGTCATGGTCCTGTCCTGTTTCCTCATGTATAAAATGGGAAAAGTAACAGCGCCTACCACAGTGCATTGTGTGATGAGGACTAAATCAATTAACACACGTAAAGCACTGGAACAGTGCCTGGTACAGGAGAAGTACTCAATAAATATTAGTGTTTTTATTAAACATCATTTCATTAATCAGCAACGATGACAAAAAAAAAAAATCAAGGATCAAGTCTCTGCAGAGCTGAAAATGGAATATTTCTCCCCGAGGTGGCTCCGGTCACGATTTTCTAACCTGGTCTCGTTGAGGGCCTCAAGCACAGTTTTCCTAACAAAACCCCACCCTCCCAACAGTGCAAGGCTTCAGTGCCCAGCTGTGCACCCAACAGGCATCAACATGACCCTCTTACTTGCTGCCTGCACCTGCCTGACACCACTCTTTAAGTCATGAATAAGAAGAAGAATGCTGCCCTTCTCCAAACTGGGACAGGGAACGACAACCCAAAATAAAGACTTCCACAGAGGGTGACAAAAGAACCAGCTCACAACTTGGCGAGGTGGCTCATTTTATGTTCCCTTAAAACACGTGGGACAGGCTTCCTTCAAGCAATAGATTTTTACCTTTTTTTATGGAAAAGAACGAGTTCTTTCACTAGCCACAGGCTATGGCTCCTCTTTCTAACTCACTCTTAGAGAGTTGCGCTGGATGTGCCTCCTTACCCGCAGAGACCCTAAGCACTGCGGTCTGTGTCCTCATCCCCAAAACCAACAGGATCAAGGCTTGGACACCTCTCCCAGGAATCTGAAACCGAGGTGCTTAGAGATGGAGATCAGTGGGTTTCCTGCTGCTCAGCAGAATCATCTGGACAGCTTTTCTGAACTATGGGCTTCTAAATCAGACTCATGACATGCTGAATCCAACTGGGGGCGGGGGATGGGGTTGTACCCCAGAAATCTACTTGTTTCATAAGCAACCCGGGAATTGCTCATATGTACTTAGGTTTGGGGTGACTAAGTCAACCCCTGAGGTGATCATGAATACCTGAATTGAAAGTTCATGTAGGGGTGCCTGGGCGGCTCAGTTGGTTAAGCGTCTGCCTTGGGCTCAGGTTATGATCTCAGGGTCCTGGGATGGAGCCTCGCATGGGGCTCCCTCTCTCTCTGCCTCTCCCCCTGCTCATGCTCTTGCTCTCAAATGAATAATTTAAAAAATCTTTAAAAAAGAAAGTTCCCGTAGCCCTAGGCTTGTGCTGAGCACCATGGTAAGCCCCAGCCACAAGAATGCAGCCTGTGGAAGACACATAGAAGTGCGAGACCAGGAAGCCCGAGAGAGGGGATGGCACCACCTCTAAGGCTGGACCCTCAGGCTTCTTTCAACAAGACCTCTTTTTACTAGTTTGTACTCATTTGAATGTGCTTTTTGTTCTTTGCAAATCATACCCATCCTCGAACACTTATTAGGAGCAAAACTTCACACTTGGAAACGTCAGTTTTTTTCACAACCGCTGTTAGAGATCCCATTTTCTGGATGAGGAAACAGGTACAGAGGCAAGTACCCTGCCCCAAATGAGAGAACTGTTAAGCAGCAGATCGAGGAGTAAAACTCAGGCCAGCTGCCCCACAGCCCATGCTGTAAGCCACTATGCTACAGAAGTTGATTTTAAAAAAAAGGTTAACAGAGAGGAAACACCCTTGTGGCTGGCTCATGAGACATGATGAAAATACAAGTCACCCTAAAGACTATAAAACAAATGGCACCATAAAGCAGGCAGGGTGGAGCAAATGCATGAAGACGTCTTGGATGTCGTGAGCATGGGGGTTCCATCTCCTCTGCAAAGTCTAGCAGGCCTCATTGTAAGCAGTACAGATGCTTTTCTAAACCGTGGCACTGGGTCTGAGGATGAGATGCTACATGTTTTTTCAACCCCAAATTAAAAGAAATTACAGATACAAAGTCTAAGAAAGTTGATTAGCCCAGGGACAGTTAAAAAGCGCTGGATAGTCTCATCCGGGCACCCATGCACTTCCAAGCTCGCAGGGGCGTGATGTGCATGAAGCCACCCCTTCTTGGCCCTTCTGGCTCTGGTCAGAATGGAGCTGGCTGAGAACCATCGGACAGAAACACCAAAAATGAAAGTATTCATAACAAAAGAAGAACACTCACTATAATAATGAGGGATGTCTCTTACCTGGGCCCAAGCTTAGTCTCAGGAGTATTTTTGTTAAATTATTAGAACAGTAAGAATAATTCAGTAAAAATAACTTTTTTAAAGAAAGATTCATCAGTGAGATGTCAATAAATGTTAAAAAGGCAGGCATCCATGTGGCCGGTCTCCTGAGGCTGTTTTAAAAAACTATCTTGTGGGGGAGCCTGGGAGGCTCAGTCGGTTAAGGTTGACCTTTGGCTCAGGTCATGATCCCAGGGTCCTGGGATCAAATCCCACATCCGGCTCCCTGCTCAGCAGAGTCTGCTTCTCCCTCTCCCTCTGCCATTCCGCCTCACTCGTGCTCTCTCTCGCCTAAATAAATAAATGAAATCTTAAAAAAAAAAAAAAAACCCAAACCACCTTGCGTTCACTTTGACGTAGACACTAGACATACTGAGTAGCTCCCTGGGCTATCTGGCACTGGGTCCAGGGTTTATCACGAACCGGAATCCAAATCTTCTCTGAGGCTTGGCAGTGGCACGCTGCAGACCCGAATGCAGATCTACAGAATCCACAATGGTCTGGGAGAAATAAATCTCTGGGCTCAGATTTAATTTTGACAACCAAACCCAACAGAAAAGAGAGCAGCCCTGCTGGAGGACTGTGAATCCAGTTACTGCGGCTGTGCGGGTGGAAGGAGCAGACTTCCTGAGCTGACAGATAAAATTAGCAGCTAATGTGATAACTAACCATTCCATAATGAAACAATCTGGCACCCCTGTCGGCGTCCGGCTGTGGCTAATCTGTCCTGGAACTCGGTGCTAGTGCGGAAGGGACTCCTCTCTGGGTTCCTGCTCGCAGCCTTCCCCGTCCACTCACAGGTAAGGATGATCCACTCTCTCTCCCCAGACACTTTAGTGTTTTCAATGTGCTGTCTTTCCGTATTCCCTCTGGCCCAGACCGCCCTCACAAACACTAAGCCAGTGCCCTGAGGAACCGCGGAGGACACGAGAAGTAGATGAGAATGGCTCAGGTCAGGTATATGTGCACCGCTTGCCTGCACAGTCTCCCCACTTACCATGCAGGGATGGAGGCACTACTGGTCACACTCTATGGCTCATTCTACCTACTGTCTCTGAACCACCAGGAAGGGACCAGAGCCTGGACTTGGGTCAACTCTACCTGTGCGGGGGAAATGCTGGGCTTGTCACTACCCATGCCACTTTCTCAAACACAGAAGGACGAGGAGACAGTGACCTTATGGATCTTGTTCATCCTGAAATGCCTGACATGCGGGGCCACACTTGGCCGGAAGTATATAATGTGAAATGGAGGATGGATGGAAAGATGGACAGATAGATGGATGGACGGACAGTCATGTTGAGAGTGGAAATAAACCTTTTCTTCCCAGAGCTAGCACTCCTTCTTGACTCAGGCCACAGTCATACAGGCTGAGTATTTTCTCAGGTACCCATAGGAAGAGAGGCAGGCAGAGACAAGGGAAAAAAGAGAGAGAAAAAGTATCAATGTTCCAACCCTACATCATCACCGAAACCCGCCAAGTCTTCAGCCGCGAGGAAGACATGAGCGGACCTCTCCCTATGCTTCGGAGGTATTTAGGGCTAGGATGACTCTTCCTGGAGGACAACTGTATCAAAAGCCTTCATTAATATCTTACTTCTAAGAATTTATAGAAAACCATCATAGATGGTGCTCAGATAATTCTGTAGAAGGACAGTCACTGGAGGATCATCAATAAAATAGAAGATGAATTCACAAAAAAGGTCTACTACTTTCCCATCCATTCCTGGTATAGGAGACTGACTCAGAAGACTGTCTCTTCCCTTGGGGATTTGGTATGAGGCCATTCCGGAAGTTAGACCAAAAACAGAATGTGGAGTCGTTAATGGAGATTACATGGATTCAGAGAAGAAATGAGAACTACTCACCTTCTGCCTCACTCCTTGAGTCTCGTTGAATGTGTTGCTAACAGAAGACAACTTTTCAAGTGCCCCATGTGTAGGTTAATTAAAAGATCCATCTTATTTCCCAATGGAGAAGACACGGACTTTCGTTAACATATGAATTAATCCTTCCAGTCCTGGCCCACCCATTCACTCCTTCCCACTCCTCCGATCCCACTAAAAATTCAAGAGGACTAAATCAATCACATCTTAAGTGGAATTCTCTGGAACCAAATTCTGTGCTTTGTCAAGGGTGGAAAGCTGAATGGGAGATCCAGCAAAACCAGTACTTATCTGCTACCTAATCTGAAGATAATTAAAAAAAAAAATCAAGGAGGCAGTTTTGACAATCCAATTAACCAGCTGCATAAGGAAATGAACCACATCACAGTAGAGGAGTAAGTCAAGTTCTTTGCCTTGGCCATCACGTGAAGAAAGCTTGCAATCAAATCAAATTACAGGATAGAGAAGGATGCTTCCACCAATATTGACACCACAGCAGAGAAAATTTTCTCCATGAAAGGTAACTGACACAAGCCCTGAAAAGTTCACTCTTGAAGCCTCTCGGAATGTGTTTAGTTCTGAGCACGTCCAGGGTTTTGGCTTAGGAAGCTGGGGCTCAAGCGAACATCCTTCTCCCAACGTTCTCATAGAGTGAAGCCACCAGACGTCACCAGCTAGCGCACAAAAGCTTACCTGGTTCCTTCTGCCAATCCGATTTGGTCCCGGAGGCTTCGTGGGGGACTTGGTGCTCTGGGGGCTCCCGCCATTCTCGGCGACCTTCCCTACACTCATTACCGCTGACATCATGGTGTTGACGGAAGACAAGTCTGAACCTTCCAAGCCAACGGGCGAACTTGACGTCATTGGGTCAAGGGTTTAAGCTTCTAAGAAGCCTCTGCCATAGAACTGAAAATCGGAAATTGCTGCTGTTGATCACTGCGAAGTTTAGCCTCTGTCAGAGCCAGGTGGCGCTGGCCATGGCTACCATAACCGTAAGTCAGGTCAAAACACCTAAAGCCCTCCTTCTTCAGTTCAAGCTGATACTCGTGCCCAAAATGACTTAAGCTTTCATGTAAATGAGGCGTTGTCATACCGAGACTGATAACCTTGCTTCCTTTTTGAGTGTATGCACCGACACAACCCCCAAAACCAGCAGACGCAGGTCTCTTGGCTTTCCCTAATCTTTCATTAGGCAGAGCAGGAAAGGCTAAGCCAACAATTAGGAAGCCCAGGGAGCTGACATTTGGCCAGCACCCTCCTCATAACCTAACTCATTTACTACCACATGAATGTTCTAGACTTAACAACTAATGATGAGGAATCGTCCGGTCTCCCTAACTCCACTGCTGCAATGCAGTGATTTTACAGGGGGGTGCCGAATTATGTAAGACAACTGAGAAGCCAATCTTATCAGAGTTATAACCAAATTTCAAAGCAACGTAAAAAAGACGGTTTCTTAAAATATACGAGTAGGTAATGTGCCTATACCCCAGAAAGTGGACAGAAGAAAAACCCAGCCCCCACTGCCCATTACCTCCATTCTCTGCCCCAACTGATACACTATGAGACTTTCCCCTGCTATAGCTATCATCCACGACGAGTAAGAAGGGAGTCTGCGTTTGCTTCTTTTTTTTCGTCTCTTGTATCACTTGTTGACACTGGAAGGGAAGCAAAGGGCATAAAAGATTCAGTGAATGCCTTCTCCGGTAGTGAAGAAAAAAACTGAAACCATGTATCTGTCGTAATCTCAGGCCACTATATTCACCAGAATACACAAAAGGGAGGCGATTTTAAGTCATCTTCTTCTTCCAAAACCACAATCTGTGGTTGTTTTCTCGATCTTAACTCATGTTCCCTACAGTGCTGTCACCCTCACTCCCAACAGCCAAAACGATTCTGTGGTATTTTATTTTCTGGGAGCTCCTATTTACACCCACATCGAGTTTTCCTTCATACTCTACCCCCGACCCCCAAAAGTATTCAGACTCCTACTTGACCCCTCCTCCCGCCTCTACCTAAAACTGACAGAGGGGGAGGCAGGAAAGGAACTCCCAGAAGTCTCATCATGGTCTAGAAGGTATTAGGTCAGACCTTGTCAGATGAACAGAATGACCAAACGGAACACCAGGGCTCATGGCCATTCAGGCTTTACTAGTTCCATACCTTTCCATGGCTATATATGGGGCCAGAAATAAAGTCTGCAGGTAAACTACTTCCCTCATTTTATCTGGGAAAATACAGAGCCAAAGCCCTGCCTGTAAGCCACATATCCTATGATCCCACAGTGTGCCTCAACTGGACTTGTAGTCAAAGATCAAGCTCATTATCTCAGCAGCCAAGCGAACGCTCAGAAACACCACCAGAGAGAACATGATTTCTTGTGGTTTCCTCCTCCAACTTCAGGGGATGTGACCTAGGATATGACACATGGCAACACCCAGAGCAGCTACAAATGTGTCCAGCAGCAGAGCAGGAAAAGCCTGGGGATATATCAAGTGATGTTGCCATCAGCTGAGAAGTCTTGGGGTAAAATCTTACCCAAAGAGCCAAAGGGAGTCTCACGAACAGTACTTTTCTAGTCAAGAGATAAAACGTGCCTTCCTTGTTGACAGGCATTTTGAAGGTATGGTTATAATGGGTTTGCAAATGGTGAGTAAATGGATTAGCTGCAGAAACACACTACTGAAGACAACTGACCTGGGCGTAACCCACACGTCTTTCCCACACAGAGAGAAGAGCTACATCCAAAATTAAAGAAAAAAGCCAAACTGCTGTCCTTCGGTGAAATTTTGCCATTCTAAAAGACCATTAAAAATTGTGCTTCAAACTTCCTGTTTTTAACGGTCTCTGAAAATTTATTTGGGAGATTTCTCTCTAGGAAAAACAATGAGACACAAGCACACACACGTAAGTGGGCATACACACATGCACACGTGATTTCTTTCTAACTGCATTTCTAGGGGTGCCTGGGTGGCTCAGCGGTTGAGCATCTGCCTTCAGCCCAGGGCGTGATCCTGGAGACCCGGGATCGAGTCCCACGTCGGGCTCCCTGCAGGGAGCCTGCTTATCCCTCTGCCTGGGTCTCTCTCTCTCTCTCCCCCTCTCTGTGTCTCTCATGAATAAATAAATAAAATCTTAATATATATATATATATATATATATATATATATATATATATATATATATATATTTTTTTTTTTTTTTATGCCCATGAGGCAGCTCCTGCAGCCCTTTCGCAGCTCCACAGGGTCAGGGCTGCCTCCCTCCTGCCCCAGGCCAGGGAAGGAGGCTGTGGTCAGGGCTTGGGCAGCTCATCCAGGACCCCCACTCCCCTGTAAGCCCTGTTCTGTGCAGGGCAGACCCAAGCCATGACCTTTGCAGCCCTTCCTAGGTGCATGGACCCCGACACGTGATGACAAATCCCCCCACCCTGTGGTCCAGGGTGGACGCTCAGGGATCTCTGTGTCATCCTGGCCCATGAGCAGGCTTGCTCTTCACAAACTGAAGAGCAAAATATATGTATATATTTTTTACATGAATATATTGAATATATGCATATATGTTACATGAATATATATGTGTATATTCATGTTAACAGAGCCCGATTACTAGTAAGAATTTTTGTTAGTCATTATAACATCAAAGAGATTCTTGCAAGCACCCTCCGTGACTTCGATATATAATAGCTAGCCATCGCTGTAATAGCTAAACAACGTAAGGACTGAAGGCTGCAAGGACTTATCCCAGTTGGAAAAGAAGAAAAGCCATGCAAACTTGTTGTTTCCCATTTTGTCTGGACAGGAAGACATTTGCTACATTCACTTCCTCCTTTGGGATGGAAGTGTAAAGTGTGACACTACCCACTGATGACGCCAGGATCACTTACATTTACTTCCTTTCTTTACCTACTTTATTATTATTTTTTTTTTTTTAGATTTTATTTATCTATTAGAAACAGAGAGAGAGAGGCGGAGACATAGGCAGAGGGAGAAGCAGGCCCCATGCAGGGAGCCTGACATGGGACTCGATCCCGGGCCTCCAGGATCACACCCTGGGCTGAAGGTGGCAGGCACTAAACTGCTAAGCCATCAGTCCGCCCCTCTTTACCTACTTTAAATATAGGCAGCAATCTATTTTTTTTTTAATAGAGACTTCTCATCTCTGATCAGAAAGTATAATTAGCAAAAAGAACCCCAAAGCTACACTATTTGAAAAGAAGAGCACAGTCTTTGGGGTCACCCCTGAAAAGCTGTTTCAGAAGCAACCCATTTCAGCCCCAAGGAGCCATTTATAGGCTATAGGCTTTGACTCTGGTTTACTCCTGTGTCTTATACTGGAGTTCTCCCTTTGGGAGGATAAGACAGGAAAGAAGAGAAAGGACCTGGTGTAAATAAGGTTGCTCATCATCCCAAGTTACGGGGGAAAAAAAAAATCTGCCTTAGCATTAAGGCACATCTATGCACTAAGCTAACCAGAGGCCGGTTGGCCAGTACTGGTTAATTTTTCCCACCCACGCCCAACCCTAGACTCTACTGGGGTTATAACCCAAACTAACAAACTTAAACCTTCTGAGACTGGATCTCAGGGATGAAAGCAAAGTTAAACCGTGTAAAGTCCGTGTACAAAGCACTTTTTTTTTATGGATTTTTTATTTTTTATATATTTATGATAGTCACATCAGAGAGAGAGAGAGAGGCAGAGACACAGGCAGAGGGAGAAGCAGGCTCCATGCACCGGGAGCCCGACGTGGGATTCGATCCCGGGTCTCCAGGATCGCGCCCTGGGCCAAAGGCAGGCGCCAAACTGCTGCGCCACCCAGGGATCCCTTTCTTTATGGATATTAAAAGTCTTGGTATCTTCAGTCTTTCCTTTGCTCCCTGATACCATCCTACACATCAGCCCCACTACTGCAAATAGCAACAATCAAATGACAATAAACAAGGTAAGTCACCGAGCCCATTCTAACGCAATGTGCTCCAACTGGAACCAGAGAGGACTGGGAGCCCAGATGAAGTCCCCAAATCACAGGTAAGAAAAGCAGCCATCGTCTTCATTGACGTGGCCAAGCAGACTTGCCTGGCGGTCCAGTTTTCAACACAAACAGTCAGAATCTGGGGGCGGGGGGAAGGGGGGAAAGCAGGGATCAGGGGTGTGTCTGAGGCACTCTTCCTGTGAGGCCAATACTCGACACCCTCTGAGATTTCCCATCCCACACTCCAGGCCCATTGGACCAGGAAGAGCTAGCGATTCAGGGTTACAATTTCACTGTGGTTTTGCATCAAAGCCTCAGCAGGACCACGGGGAAGAAACAGGGCAACTCAACAGGGGAATGTAGGGGATGGGAGGGAGAGGGAAAGTAAGACTCAACACTCCGAGTTATTGTGACTCCAGGAAAGTCAATAAAGTTTAACTGACCTGTTTTCTTCGTCTTATCAAGCTGGCCCTCTTTACGGAGGAGCTGGCGCTGGCGGAGCCCAGACGTGGGCAGGGTCACACCTCAAAGCCACCACCTCTGGAGCACAGAGTCAGAGCAACCTGCACAAATGAGAAAAGGCGATGTGAAGGGGGTGTCAGGACCAGAAATGATCCCGTCTCTGGGCCTTTTGTTCTACTTGATACCAGAAGTCACCAGTTAAGGACAACAGAACGTTTCCCATCCCCGCCTGCATGCATCAGCAAGCTTCTAGCTCCTAGGGTTTCCTCTGGAGCTGCTCATGAGCATCAGAGCGAGGGCAACTGGAGTCCAGCGTGCCCTGGACAGACAGGAACCCCCCCAAAGCACCCCTAACATGTCACGACGCACCGGGTGCCAACACTGTGTGGGAGCAGCTCAGACCACTGGCCCCAGGCGGAGCTCTGGGCATCTCAGTGGCATGGTAATAGCAGAGCCAGATGGGCCGCCGGTTTTAAGGCAGAGAAGACAACACCAAGTGCCATCAGCCACAGAGTGGAAAGAAGACGACAGCTGGAGGGAATAAACAACATGGAACCAAATGGTCCCTTAATGGAAAGGGCAGATTAGTACACTTTCTCCTGAGTGGTGGTGAAGTGCCCAGGACAGTTCAGAGGGGACCCGATACGTATCTTCTCCTTACTGTGGAGAGGATACAGAAAACTTCAAGTTACACACGTCCCTCAAGAGTTTGAGCAAGTCTGGTCTGGGGGGCCAGGGACCTCCAGCCCCAGCCCTGGGAGAAAGCAGGCCCTCTGCAAAGTCCCAGAGCCCTGGAATGCAGCCTTTCCCAGCATTTCCCAGAGCCGCCCTGTGCAGCCACATTCTGTTTCTGGAAACAGCATCCCCAGCTAAACTGAGAAGTGCCCGAGTGGGAGACCGAAGGACATAAATCAAACCACCACATGGACAAACCCTGTTGAGAAACACATGCTTGGCCCATTTTCTCATTTTGATCCTCTTTCAGGGCGTCTGGAAGAAAGCTGCTCCCTTGGGTCACACACCCAGTTATCATCCTGGGCATCACTCCCTCTGCTGGGTTGGGGTGAGAAAGTGCCACCAACCCCCCCCCCACCCCCGCCCCCAGCAGCTCCTCAGAGATTTCTAACAAGTTCACTGCTTCAACTCTCCATCTTTTCTCTTTGCCCCTTTCCCTCTTGAAAAGTTCTTTGGATTTTGTACCAAGTATCAAGAAACAAGGAGCAACTCCAAGAGACAGCCCCTGAATGGGATGGAGACCCAGTAGGCCTTGAGGAATCCTTATTACCACCCCAGTAATTCCCAATGGTTTGAGGGGAGCAAGAACCTAATTAAGGGGCTGGTAAAAAAAAATTATGGAGCTTCCCACAGCAAAGTGCACATATTCTACTACACCTAACATTTTCCTTCAGCATCAAAAGTTCAGGGACCCCAGAAACTCATCCTAGGGGTAAGCAGAACAAGAATCCTGTTTTCACTTGACATATAACCCGCTTTCCTTTAAACTATGAATCAAGTCAAGTTTATCAAAATTCCCATGAGGTTTTAGAAATGCACAAAACATCCTTTCAGATCATCCCCACCCAAACTTAAGGTGAAACACTGTGGAAGAAAAAAAAAAAACCACCACAAAAAACCAGGCCGAATTTCCCTGTTAGTATTCATTTCTTAATTCACAGCAAATTTTAAACAATTTTCTTACAGACTTTATTTATCTGAGATTGAGAGAGCGAGCGAGTGAGAGCGGGAGAGCACGCACACAAGTAGGGGGAGGGATAAGGAGAGGGAAAGGGGGAAGCAGGCTCCCCCCTGGGCAGGGGACCCCATGTGGGGTTCATCCCAGGACCCTGAGATCACAACCTGAGCCAAAGGCAGACGCTGAACCGACCGAGCCACCCAGGCACCCCTCACAGCAAATTTTAATGGGAAGAAAGTCTGGAGAGGAACAGCTCCACGGTTGTTTTTCTAGAAATTACCACGGTCTCCAAGTAAATAAAGTGAATTCTAGTTCTATATATAATTATTTAAAACACACATCAGATAGATGAGTCTCTGGAATTTAAACTTGCCGGAATATAATAACTAAGACTCTCATTAAAATTTGAACTTGCTCCCTCCCCTCATTTAAAAAAAAAAAAATCCTTTAGAAAAGTCCACCAGGTAATCTCCTTCATACACAGAGGGAACCAAAGTTGGAGAGCGCCAACCCGACATACTGGATCCTGAAACGTCCCATCTCCTAATTTTGGATGTAAAGGATCTGAATTCTGAGAATGTCTTGCCATTAAAGCTGAGTAACAAGAGTCACTACCCTGTTTGGGGTTCCATCAGGCCTGAGGGATTCACAGAACTCAGCAAGTGGAAAAATACAGCATAGTTCTGGGAAGAAAATTCAAGATACCCCTTACCTCTATCACCATGGCCTGGGGCAGGGAGTGGGGCGGGGAGAAGAAGGAAGAAAAGGAGGGGAAAAAGAGACCAGGTGAGGAGAGGCTGTGTCCTGGAAGGTGACTCCTGCAGGGGAATGCGAGGAGCACAGGCTGGGAATCTGGAAGGGTGGGTGGGTCTCTCGGGGCTCCCATGGGAGGATGCTGAACCTCTGGGTTTGCATTCCCACACAGGCTCTGCCCAGATCCAATGGAAGCAGGAGGACTTGCAAAGGGCAGAGGTCCATCTGCAAGGATGAGGGGGCAGGGCCGGCCAGCCGGCAGGCCTCCAGCCTCCAGCCCCCAGTCCCTGAGGAGATAAGGGACAATGCTATGTAAAGCCAGAAAGAAAAGATTAAGGAGCCTGTCTCCAGGTCCAAGAGATAGCAAAGAGGAGATGAAAGATAAAAGGGAAGATGGGCTAGAAACAAAGCTGCTCAGCTTCGGAAAACCCAGAGGATTCTTCAGGGAAATCTAAAATCTGTCCTAAGGCCTGCAGGACAGATGGGTAAGTTAGATGCCTCGGAGGACAGCAGAGGATGCTATAATAGGGAACTTTACAACACCAGCCCGGAGAGCTGCGGTGCTGAGCCTACAGACGCCCACCAATACTTGGGATGGTTGACTCGCTGCTGCAACAGCCTGGCCGGTTGGGGCCAACCCATGACGCTCAAGGCTCCAAGTTAACGCTCTAGCGGGGAGGGAGCTTTAGGGCAGCAAGGATGTCTCTCTTAGAAGGGCTGAGTCAGAGAAGGAGCGCTGTTCCCTCACTCTGAGCTAGGCCCGGGACCGAACCAAGCCAGACTGGCTGGGCGCCGGGGCAATGCCCATTCACCGGGCCTGCAAAGCCCGGGGTCCCAGCGCTCCTCCAACGGGACAGCGTCGTGTGCACATGAAGGCTGACAGCTGCGATGACGGCTCCGAGTTCCAGGAAGCTGATGTGTTTCTTGGCGATGGGCTCGGTCTATGCCTTGCACGGGGCGGCCACCCGGGCAAGTCACCACCCCCCTCGCTGGCATGGGCTGTGGTCAAACGCAGCCGTGAGTGTCACACTGAGCACTCGAGCGGGCTGGGGACAACTGGGCGCCGTAAGCTGCTCTGGCCAGTCCTGCAAACTCCCCGCTGGATGAGGAGGGACAGCTAAGGCCGTGCATGTGGGGCCCCCCGTCGGGCTGTCTTCAGAGATTGGCCTCCAAAACATTCCTCGCCCCGACTTTCATCTCAAGACTACAGGGAGGCTTTCTAAGCTGCCAATCGAAGCTCTCCATGCTCTGACTTGGTTTACCTTCTGGGCCTCTTGCACCAGTCCCCGTGGTTACCACTCTATTCAGTTTCTTCCCCCAGAGTGCAGGTCTGCATGCTGGCCCGCCCCATCCTATCCCTCAGGGGCCACCGTGCTACAAGGCCTCCCTCATTCCCACTGAGAGAATTCCTGAAGCTCTTTGTTATAAAACTCTGCCTCTGCCGTATTCATACTAAGGCCACTAATGATGATGAGGGTGGCTAATGAGCTTTGAACACTACCTGCCCCCCGCTAAGTGCAGTATCTCATCGAATCCTCTTGGCCACACCCGAGGAGTACTGGTCCCACTGCACAGATGAGAAGACTAAGGTGGGCGGGGGGGGGGTTAGCAACCCACCCCCAAGATCACGGTGGTAGAGCAAAGTGAATCCAGCTTCTAAATGCTGCTAAGTTTCTTCTGGACAAAATCTGTAACCCTGGCCCAGGACTTGAGGGAACAGATGCGCTCCCCCAATCCCATTCTCGGACTTGTCACAATCACATTCTGAGTCATCTCTGCCCTTCCAGGCTGCTCAGCACCTGGCCGTGCATTTCTGCCTGTTTCCAGGCAGGAAAAGAGCCCTCTCCCTACACCTCACCCCTGCCTTCCTCCCTCTTGGGCAGGTTGCACGGCACAGGGCAAGAGTTTGCAAGCACTCACCGCCCTTGCTGTGCCAAGGGATGGGGGTGGGGTGGGTGGGACGTCCGCATTCTACACCCTTGGATTCTAGGAGAAGGAAATTGGAAGGGAGCCACCAGGCGCTGCCTGGTATCCTGAACAGCCCAGTTCTGCCCAAGTGGCTGGATCCAACTGATCCACCAATGTGAACTCAGAGGCAGCCTACGTCCTCTAGGTCACTTCTGCTTCCGTGCAAATGGAAGGCAGGCCCAGAGCAAAGGGAGCTCTGATGGGAAGCCTACACTTTCAGGTCCTGGGGTGTCTGTGGAGGGAAGTGGTGGGGGAAGGCAGAAGGGGAGCACAGCGGGTTGGGAGGGAAGAGGCAAGATTGCAGAGATCAAAAATGAAGCAAACACCACGCGAAGGCAAGCGACAAGTTAACTACCACTGACCCTCCCACACAGGCCACCCCGGAGTGTCGTCCCCATGCGGCAGCATCACAGACCTTTGCTAGAAATGCAGATTCTCAATATCCGTAAGTCAGGTCATTACGCTGTCCACCTCAAACCTACACGGTGCCTATATCAAGGATATTGCAATAAGACCAAAAGGAAAAAAGAAATACAGACACTCGGGCCCCACTCCAGACCGATGACATCGAAAATACCTCTGGGGATGGGTCCTGTACATCTGTATGGTAGCTCTCAGGGGATTCTGATGTAGCCTTGAGAACCAGCAGCTATCTTTACAGAGAATTCTGGAAGAAGGGTGACACAA